AAAGCTCAAAGACAAAGAGAGAATCTTAAAAGAAGCAAGAGAAAAGCATTAAGTCACCTATCAGGGAGCCCCTGTCAGACTAACAGACTTCTCAACAGAAATTCTACAGGCCGCAAGAGAATGGAGTGATGTATTCAAAATACTAACAGAAAAACTGCCAGCCAAGAATACTATGCCTAGTAACAGTACCCTTCAGAAATGAGGAAAAAAGAGTATATTTTCCAGACAAACAAAAATTGTGGGAGTTCACCACCACATGACCAGCCGTACAAGAAATCCTTGAGGAAGTACTGCATCTGGAATCTGAAAAATGGTAATCGCTACCAGAAATACACAAGAAAGAATAAAACCCACTGGTAGAACAAAGATGCAAACAAGAAAGAGAAAAAACTAAATCTTACCACGACAAATAAAAACATAGTGACAAGGTAATAATGCCCCTACTTTATTTCTGATTTTAGTAACTTTGGTCTTCTCTCTTTGTTTCTTGATCAGCCTAGGTAAAGGTTTGCAAATTTTGTTGATCTTTTTAAAGAATCAAATTTTGGCTTTGTTGATTTTCTCTACTGTTTTTTTCACTTCCCCATTTCACATATTTATGTTGTAATCTTTGTTATTTCCTACTTACATTTGCTTTTGGTCTAGTTTGCTCTTCTTTTTCTATTTTCTTAATGTAGAAGTTTCCATTATTGACTTGAGGTTTTTAATATAGGTGTTTACAAATATAAATTTTCCTCTAAGCACTGCAAGAGCCCTGCATCCTATAAATTTTGATATGTTACACTTTGATTTTTATCTTAAAGTACTCTNTTTTTTTTTTTTTTCTTACTCATTGTTTATTTAGGAGAGTGTTTTCCACACACTTGTGAATACTCTAAGTTTCCTTCTGTTATTGTGGTTAGAGAACATACTTTCTGTGATCTTAGTCTTTTTAAATGCATTAAGATTTGTTTTGTGGCCAAAAATAAAAAAAAATAAAAAAGAAGACATTCTGCAGTGGGATTTTGAGTATTTTGGTGAGACATAGCAAGAACTTCTTTTATTTTATAGGCATGGAGAAATGAAAATTTCTCCCCAGCACAAGCCTAGTAGCCCTAGTACCAGAAAAGGGGCACCCTAGTAAGAGGGAAAACATTTAGAAAATAACTGATCTGCTCTAGCCAAACATCCCAGAATAAACTGTCACTCACGACCACTCATTCCAGCTGAGACTGAGTGGAGAGACTAGACTTCGACCTTTACCAAGCTATAATGGGATGCCCTACCCACCTTGTCCAACAATGGTGGTGTCACTGGAGGTCTAGCAGAGAGACAGGTCTTTTACCATCACCTAATTTACCATCACGAGGCCTCACTACCCCTGTGACCTCCCTGGAAATAAGGTGGTGTCCCTCCAATGAGTATTTTAAAATTATTGGTTCAACGTGTATTTAGAAGAGCAGCTTGAATGGAATAGGAGTGCATAAGAAAGCCAGTTAGTTACTGTTCTCAGACTCTAAGCTGTTTGTCCAAGCAAGTCCTCAGCCCCAAATGTGATTTCTTTACTAGAAAACAAAATTCCTAAGGTTAACTGAATCCATCCTCCTTACATGGTCATTTAGAAGTTTTCTGTTCTCAAGACACCCCCCACACCATGCCCAAGTAGTTATCCTTTTAACTACATAAAGTCCTCTTCCTGAGTGGATTTTTCAGTAAATACCAATTCTTTGGCTGTAGCATTGTAGATGATGCTACTTGCAGGTGATGCTCCAGGGAGCCACCCACTTCTTATTCCAGCTGTGGTTTCTGGTTTTGGTGCTTG